TAAACCACAAACAAGTTTAAAAAGGAAATGACGTCTAGTTTTTCAAGTCTAAGTCATTTTGAAGTTAAAAGTAAATGTTAGAATATATCATCCTGATAAAAGAATGACATGAGTTCATTAAAGGCACCAAAACTTATTTGAGAATCATAAGGAAGGAGAGAATGAAACAACTAACATTCATCTCAAACTACCAAATTATGAATTAAATGTTAAGTGTCTATATATGTATGTACATATATAAAATTCCATTATAAAGGAACTAAAAAGCAAAGCAGTCATTTTACTGTACCCTTAAAAAGAGCACCGTACAGTGACAGTCGTTTCCTCCACACTTGTCTTTCCCAACCTCTAACCCACACCAGGAAAACGGAAGGGGGTGACCCACCACTGACCAAGTCAGGTCACTGCCCTCAGGCTAAAAGTTGCAAATTTAAGCTATTTTCTGACATACAATATAAATTGCACAAGCCTACTAGAAGTTTTGCAATTCTCAGTGTTATCTCTACCACTGAAACGAATTTTAGATGTATTTTTAAAGCCACCGATGTATCACAACTGAATCACTGAGCAAACATCAGGATCCAGAGCCTCAACACCACCGCCCCGTCAGCCTCCACCCCTGCCTCTCTAAGGTTGTGTTATCATCTTTTATTTTGTATATCCACCTCCCTATTTCTTTTTCTCTTTGATTTTGTGTTTTTCCGCTGGGTTGCTTCTCATTCAGTTGCCGTCCCGTTTCCGGCCGTCTCTCCCTTCAGGGCCACCTCTCCCCCCTGCTCCGCGCACTGCAACTGGCCCCCTCCCGCTGCCCCTTCTCCCCGGCCTTCCTCACGGTCCCCGCTCTCCCCGCATTCCCGCCCTCCGCCCGCCCTCTTACACTCTCCAGCGCAGTCACTCCCCTGCCCTCCGCCCGGTCACGCGCCCCCCGTCCCCTCTCCGGCACCCCGGCGGCTCTGCTTCCCTCCTCCGCCCTCCGGGCCGCCCTGCAACACGGCTCCCAGCCCGCACCTCCCCGCCGCCCCCCAAGGGCCTCCCTCCCCGGGGGCTCACCTCCACCCGGAGGTCCCGCTGGCCTCTAACTCCCCCCGGCTCCGCCGCCTGCTCCTTCCCGGGCTCGCCCGTCCTCTCCCTGCGCCTGCTCTCCCGCAGCCTCCCGACCTCCGCACTCGTCCCGCTTCTGTCCTCGCCGTTCCGGCCCGGCCTCTCCCGAGCACCGTCGCCCGCGAGCCCAGGGGCGCCGAGGCACCGGACGCCGGCCTCCCGGGAGAGCACGTTCACCGTCGGTGGAATCAGGGCTCGAGCCCGGGCGTCCCAGGCATCCCGGCGCGCGTCCCGCATCGCGCTCCGGGGAAGAGGGGCCTCGCAGGGGCGGCCTGGGTGGCAGAGGGCCCGGCCCGAGGCCGCGGAGAGGCGGTTGGCGCGGCGGTCGGCCGGAGGGGCCAGCAGGAGACCGGCGGGCGCGGTTGGTCTCCTCCTGGAGCTGGGCGGCCGGCCCTGCGCTTCGGGAGCCGCACAGCCCGTGGAGGAACGTCACCCGGCGCGGGAGGCCCGAGACGCCAGGGAAGGGCTTCAGGCAGGAAAACGATGGGAAAGGCGCGTGGAGGCCAGGCCAGGGGCGGGGCCCCCCTCACGGGGACTGGGAACCGCGAGGGGTGCGCGTGGGCGGCCGCAGCGACGTCGGAGGTAGCACGGTGGGGGGCGGTGAACAGACCGGAGGGACCCCGGACCCCGTATGGCAGACGGAGGGCGGAGAGACTCACGCTCTTCCGGGCCTCCGCCGCCTCGCGCTGGGAGCTTGCAGGTCTGCGGGGACCTGCGCGGCTGGCAGAAGCGGGCAGCAGCGGGGCGTGCGCGGGGACGGTCTGCGCATGACGGCGGGCGGGTGAGGCTGGGTCAGCCCCGCCCCCTGCTGGCAGGTCCCTTGCTCACTAACTTTATCTCCTCTTTCCGTGAAGGTCGGCATCCTACCTATCTGGATGTTTCAGACAGTTCAACATACAATGTTGCAGAGTTGCGAGGACCATTGTGGCTGGGAAAGATGTTTTCTTCCTCACCGTGAAAACAGTTCAAGGGAAAAGCATTTTCCAGCGGGGTGGACGCAAGTTCTGCCAGTGAAGCTGAAGCAACTGACAATCCGGGAACCAGGACCTTAGGGTGGGGGGGAAGGACCGTGGGGCCATGGTTGGATCCAGGAACCTCCCTGCAATTAAAATCAATTGAAGCAATGCAATTAAACCCTGGAATTGTGTGTGAGGGACATGCAAAGTAGAATGTGAAACGAAAAGTCTACCTGGGGGGAATGGGGTTCTTCACACTGACACCCCAGTAACCACATTTGCACTTCTCCATTCGTCCTGGAGTCAGAGCTCAACCCTCCGCTGAGTTCAAAGATTTTCCCAGAGATGAGTCCTGGCAAGGAGGGCGGAGGCAGGTGCTGATGCAGATCGCCAGTCCTTGTGAGACAGGGAGTGTGGGTGCAGTCAGAGTAGGGGGAGGGCCTCCGGGAAGAGCAAGGCAGGATGTTTGCAGTCAGAGCAGTGCAACTGACAGGGAACGCCTTGCAAGGACAGCAGTCTGGCCCAGGTGGCTCCCTTCTGCTGCTCTTCTTCGCAAACACAACAGAAACTCCCTTAAGTTCCCCCGAGCTTCACTCCCGGCTCTGCCAGGCACCTACTCCCCCTTGCTTGCTCGTTTGCTGTGCACATAGAAATGTTGCAGAAATGTTGCAGCTATGAAAGCAGAAAGATANTGCTCAGAGCTTACAACTGACTCTCTTTCAATATTTTGCACACATATAGCTATGTTTTTGCAATTCTGTATTTTTAAAATATTTAACAATTATCTCCTGGAAACGGAGTTATGGGTTACTATCAGCGTGAAAACCTTTATATAGTGTCACCTGACCAGAGGTTCCCCTTCCAGGAGGTGAGACGGGACCAGCCTTAATGTACGTCATCTGTGTGCAGCAGTGAGCACCAGGGCGCTGAGCCTCTCTCCTGAGGCTGGGGATGGCTGCAGGGAGGAGTGTCAGGCCTCCTGAGGCTGGCGGTGGCTGCAGGGAGGGGTGTCAGGCCTCATGGGGTGTGATCAAGGCCAGGTCTGTGACCCGAAGAGGAGTGTGGGGAGAGCCAGGATCCCCACTGCTGCAGTGTGTACAACAACATACTGCTGCAGTGTGTACAACAACGTTTGCTTTTAAAGATGGGAGAATGGAGTGCATAGAAAGCCTGTGCTTGTGTGCGGGGGTCCTCTGTGGGCTTCGGATGCATATACCACCATTTGTGGATGCCACCGAAGTAACATCCACGACTCAGGATTACACATCCAGGTTCTCACCCTGATACCAACACTTAATTCCTTTCCAGAAAGTCATTGTGAAATGCTTTTAAAATGCAGAATTGTGAAAAAGCGACTACAGGTGTGCACAACACGGAACAAGTAAGTTATAGAAATAAGTGCTGAGCATATTTCCTTTTTATTTCAGCTTTACAGATGGGTGAGGTTTTGTTTTGGTTTGATTTGTTTTGAGAATATTGCTGCACCAGACATAGTTGGGCTCTGTTGCACAGAACTTCCAAGTCAATCTGGCACATCTTCAACACGGCAGAAAAAAGACCAGAGAGACCAGAGGGGAACAACTACTCTGAGGTCACAGCTCACTATGCTAAGAAATCACATAAAAGGGAAGAAAACTGAGTACTACAAAACTGGTTAAATTAGTCTTTGACTCTTAAAACATCACTGACATCCCTACGAACTACCAATCAAACAGTCTAAAATTATTAATGGGTCACCAAAGAACACGTCCATCCAAGACAGAAGATACAGGGAGAATGCCTGCAGGCCTGACTTAAACCACAAACAAGTTAAAAAAGGAAACAATGTCTAAGTTTTTCAAGTCTAAGTCATTTTGATGTCAAAAGTAAATGTTAGAATATATCATACTGATAAAAGAATGACATGAGTTTATTAAAGGCCACCAAAACTTATTTGAGAATAAGGAAGTAGAAAATGAAAGAACCAACATGTATCTCAAACTACAAAATTATGAAATGTTAAGTGTCTAAATATATATATCATATACGTACATATATAAAATTCCATTATAAAGAAACTACAAAGCAAAGCAGTCATTTTACTGTACCCTTAAAAAGAGCACCGTACAGTGACAGTCGTTTCGTCCACACTTGTCTTTCCCAACCTCTAACCCACACCAGGAAAAAGGAAGGGGGTGACCCACCACTGACCAAGTCAGGTCACTGCCCTCAGGCTAAAAGTTTCAAATGTAAGCTATT